TTGATCCTAGGGAAGGGTTACAGGCACGGTTGCCTGGGGGATTATGGGCGCACTGACCCGCTACTGAAACAAGCCCTTTTATCCCAATGGTCTAGTGGTTGGGATTCTGAGACCGAGCTCACGGAAGAATCTCCGAAGCAGCGCTCTGCGCCGAAATCCACGCCGAGCAGCAAGACATGGACCTGCAAGAAGAACGACACAAAAAGAAGACATCAGCACCGGAATTCGCGTTCCACACTCAGCGATGCTACAACAACAACAACAACCGGCAGCAACAACCGAAGCCAGTACCTCCGTTCTGCCACATCTGCAAAACTTCAGGACACCCGGGCACGCACTGCCCGAATCGTCAACAGTCAACAACTCCACAGCGGCAAATTCGACCTTCAAGTAGCCAAATCGCCTCAACGCAAGCAAATCCCACGACTCAGATTCATGCCTCAACGACCTGAACAGGACAACCTGCACAAGGAGCAAGAAACATCGTCAGCTGCATGGCAAAGCTCAGTGACTCCTGCACCACCGAGTCACCACCACAGTACTCACCGGAAGAACAACTCGACGAAACCACACCCCGCCGCGAGTCACTTCAGCCGAACCCGACATACGCCGCCATCGCCCAAAGCGAACCATCCGGAAGGGACACATGGTTCTTGGACAATTGCTGCGGACAGCACATGTGCTCCTCGGGACGCTTCGTTCAACAAGAACACCAACTTCAACGCGAAGTTGTCATTATAGCCGCCAACAATCAGAACCTGCGAACACGACGACAAGGCGTAGTTCAACTTCAGTCAAGGGAAACAAACGTTATACTGCAGATGTCAAAGGTACTAATCGCGGAGGGACTCGGCTACAACTTACTGAGCGTCAGTCAGCTAATGGCGAAAGGGATTCACCTCGAAGCAGACAGCACCACCCAAGAATTCAAGCTGTATCACGGGAGAGGAGGACTCTACATCGGCAAGGCGGTCCTCAAGAACAACGTCTTCGTTCTTGACTTCGTTCCTGACCTCGGCACCGCCGACAGCGACGCCATCGTTAACTTCACCAACTGGACACACCCTCCAGACCTTGATCCAGACTTCAGTCCAGAAGGCTTCTGGTATTCACACACCATCCCCGAAGCAGAAAGAACAAGGGCGTTAGCAACAATTCAGACAACATCAGCAGCAGCAGAGACAACATCAGCAGCAGCAGAGACAACATCAGCAGCAGCAGAGACAACACCGGCAGCAGCATAGACAACATCGGCAGCAGCAGAGACAACCTCGACAGCAGCAGAGACAACATCGGCAGCAGTAGAGACAACATCGGCAGTAGCAGAACCATCATCGGCAGTAGCAGAACCATCATCGGCAGTAGCAGAACCATCAACACCAATTGCTGGTCCTTCAACGACACCGCTCCTCATCGACGACACACCACCGACACCCGCGCAACAACTACACCCAGCACCACGAGAAGTTCATCGTAGCGCCAACTTCACCGCCAACTTCTACTCCAACTCCGATATGTACCGACGATCACCCGAACATCGCGCCGACGAAAGCACCTGGCACGCAAGGATGGGACACCCAAGCAACACAGTATTAAACAATACGATAAGAGCAGGAGTACTCGACAAGGACTCACTCCTACTGACCGACGGACGAGAACTTCAATGAGTACGCGGAACGTGCTTCACCTGCCCTGAAGGTGACTTACCACATCGACCGTTTGCGTCTCATCACAACCCGAGCGCACCCGCGTACGCACCACTCGAGAAGGTGTATAGCGACATCCTGTTCAATCGGGAACCAGGACAAGTAATATACAACTATACAATCACCTTCATCGATGCCGCCACCCGTTACGTCTGGCACCTAAACCTCCCTAGCCGCGACATGGCATTCAAAGCCTTCGTTGCCTGGCTACCAGTAGCAGAGAGAGAATCGGGCATGAAACTGAAAAGCTTCCAGTCAGACAGAGGAGGAGAATACACCTCTCAGCGATTCAAGCAGTACCTGGCGGAAAGGGGAATCAAGCGGCTCATCTCCCTTCCCTACGCCCATCAGCAGCAAGGTGTAGCAGAAAGAATGAACAGGACCTTGCAGAACAGCATGCGCAAACTGTTACGTGGCATGCGGCTACCCAACCACCAGTGGTCTGCGGCAATGGACCATGCCATCATGCTGCACAACTTGCTCTCGTCATCATCGCTTCCAAACAACGCATCACCGCATCTACTATGGACAGGGATACAGGGCAGCACAAAAATGTTACGAGTTTTCGGGTGCATGGTACAGTACGACCCCCAGCAGCACGAGCGGGCCGATTTTCTCAACGAGCACAGTGGGGACTACACCTGGGAATCGAAAAGAACTACAACGCGTGGAAAATCTTCGACGTCCATTCCAAGGAAACAGTAGCAGCACGTGATGTAATTTTCTATGAACGACTCACGCTCCAGACATACCTTGCCAACCTGCAAGAAGACCAGGATCCCACAGGTAGTTTTCGTGGTGACCGAGCCTTCGCCTCAGCAGCAGACGAAGCTGACTGGGACGAGCAGAATGTGGACAACGCATCAGAAGAAGCCGGACCTCTTCCGTTCTGCTCTGTCGACGTTCCCATGGACGAAGATAACCCTCGCGAAAGTGTCAACGCCGAAACCTTCTACTATTTCGCCGACAACGGTTACGTAACACCTGCGACAGTCAACACCAACGAAGCAGAACGAGTAGGACCGAACTTCATACCTGATCCAGAAGCGGGAGATGAAGCAGCTTATCCCGAGGACGCAAATCTTCCCCGCTACTCACAGAGTGGACTGCAAATTCTCAGACTCGTCACCGCAGTCCACGGCACCGCCATTCCTAAAGAGCCTGCGACAGTTCCACAGGCTCTGGGGGGGGAGCATAAGGAATAATGGCGCGAAGCCATGGACAAGGAGCTGAAGGCACTGGAGGAACGCAACACGTGGAAAGTGGTTCCTATCGGCGTGGCACGGAACAAGACAGTACTCACCGGGAAGTGGATCTTCCGTGTGAAGACAAAGGCTGACGGCACCATTGACAAATTTAAAGCTCGCTGGGTTGTACGCGGCTTCGACCAAGAACACGGACGAGACTTCACCGAAACTTTCGCTCCGGTTAGCCGCCACACCTCACTACGCATTCTCCTCGCAATCGCCGCCATGAAGAAGAAGAAGCTGCGACAAATTGACATCACGAACGCGTTTCTCTACGCACCTGTTGATGCTGAAATTTTCGTCGAGCTACCGCACGGCTCCCACAGAGAACCCAACCAAGTCTGCTACTCAAGTCACTCTACGGCATCAAGCAGGCTCCGCGACTGTGGCAACAGTACCTGCACGCTCGCCTCATCCGCATCGGCTTCAAGCAACTACCGCACGATCAAGGCATGTACCGGCTCACAAAAAACGACGACTACATCCTACTAATCGTCTACGTGGACGATCTCCTTTACATCGGCTCAACTGACGGCATCACTACCTGGTTCGAAGGGGAGCTGCATCGAGATCTCACGCTCACAGTTTCATCTACCGTCACTCAGTACCTCGGCCTCAACATCCGGTAAGAGGAGGACGCGATCTACCTCAGCGCCGAGAAATATGCTGACACTATCGCCAAACGCTTTACGCTCACACCGACAGCCATCTCCACGCCATACCGATACACGGCAGGGAACGACAAAGGAAGCTCCGCTCTACTTAAGCCCGCCGGCATACGAGACTACCAGAAGAAGCTGGGATGTCTTCTCTTCGCAGCCGTCACCTTTCGCCCCGACCTCTCATACTCCGCAAGCCAGCTCGCCACCTACCTCAAGAAGCCTGAAGTAGAACATCCGGCGGAGCTCGACCGCGCTCTTCACTACTTCGTCAGCACCCCAACGATCGGCCTAACTTACTACAAGAACGCAACCACACTGACTAAGTTAATCGGCTACGTCGACGCTGATCACGGTGGCGACTCCGACAATAGGCGCTCCCGCACCGGCTACATCTACCGCCTCGAACCTATCGGACCTATCTCTTGGCAATCGAGCAAGCAGGAATTAATTGCTCTCTCGTCAGCTGAAGCATAATATATTGCACTCTGCTCAGCCACCAAGGAAGGACTCTATCTTCGCGAGCTGCTGGAAGAAGCGAAGTTTGCCGAGTTACCCAACTTTACCTTGTTCTGCGACAACCAATCGGCAATTTGCATCGCCAACAAGAACGGCTTCGCGAACAGGACGAAACACATCGCCCTGCGATATTTCTTCGTGAAGGACGAGATCGAGAAAGGAAGGCTCTGTCCCACGTCCGAGATGGCAGCTGACTACCTGACCAAGAAGCTCGGAAAGCAGAAGTTCGAATACTGCATGCTGCTGATTGGACAGAGCCACGTCAGCGACACTCCAGAAGCGAAGGGGGGTGTTGGAAACAATCGGTCCTAAGCGCCTCTGTCGTGTCGAAACACTAAGACACAAAAGAAACGAAGTATAACGAATCATCGGCGAGTCAACCCTTGGAGGTTGAAAGTAACTGTTGGAGGTTACGCGAAGGTCAGCGACCTTTGACCTGACAAATATAGCGCGACAGCAAGGACACACAACTGACTCGCTACAGAGCAGTTGCCAGAGTCGTCACTGTATCAAACCACAACAACAATACAGTTATAACTGCATCTCTTCGTATTCCTTGTACTCATATATAAACCTGTATCCACCTGTTTTAATCAACTCACTTTGCCCTCACATACTAGTGCAAGGTGGTTCACAACCCTTTAATTAACGCTTCCGCTACTACACCAACTCTACCCAGAGTTCACCCCTGCAAAGATCCTAAGGGGTTTTTCAGCCCAACAGGCAAGTCTTCAGTGAGTCGTATGGTAGCTGGGAGCATTGCTTTGAAATGTCAAGCAACTGTCCTGGATGGCTGGCAACATATTTCCACAGTGGTCTCTGTTTAGTAACTCTACACAGCATTCTGCTTTTTCACAGAGGCGAATCATTCATCTTTCTGAAGCAATTTCTTCTTGCCCTCTTGAAGTTGGAAACTTGCCCTCTTGCAGCAACTTGGAAGCTTCTGTTTGGATGAGCCTCCACGCCGCCTGCACGTGCGTCATCCCCGTCTTGACCGCCCCTATTGCCATGCGCAGCGTGTACTGCCCTGATAGCACCTGCTCGGGGTCATGGGGTCACACAGAGGCACGTCTAGGGTCAAGTGCCCGCAGGGTCTGAGGTGCAAACGAATGAACAAGGCAGGCAGCAGCATGATGCGGGACTCACAGCATGCATGAGGTATTCTTGAAGCGCCTCAAGATTCAGTATGTTTGTGAGACAGGAATGAGAAGGCATGCAGCAGCGTGCTGAGAGGACTGACAGTGTGTGTGAGGTACGCCTGCCCGCTGCTGTTGATCGCCTCCAGTAGCGCCGCGTTCACCTCCCTCCCTCCGTCCGCGCCCTCCACCCCCTTGTCCAACCCCCCCTCGCCCGCACCTCCACACGCCATCCCACTGTGTGTGAAGGCGGAAGGGGCGGGCGGCTTGAGGCGGAAGCAGACAAGGGCGAAGGGGCGTGGAGCCATCAGCTGGGGAGCAACGGGGAGGGGGAGAGGCAGCACGTGGGTAGCATGCTGACATCATTGCAGTGAAAAGGTTAGAGGGACAGGTGTGAGGGTGTGTGGAGGGTGTGTGAGAGGGCTTGTGGATGGTGTGTGAGAGGGTGTGTGAGAGAGTGTGCGAGTGAGAGGGTAGTAGCACAGGTGGCGCATGCAGGGAGTGATGGCATGCTGCATGCCAGCTCACCTGGAACCGCTCATCTTGCCGCACAGCCTCCTCAAACCACTCAGCAAGCGCCACGTGGCGCCTGATGTACGCGCGGATGCCCTCTGCACCATACGTGCGCAGCACCATCCACAGCTTCAATGACCTGCCCGGGGGATGCCCATGACATGACATGGCCATGGCGGTGAGCAGATTGAACGGACAGGGGGTATGCATAGAAAAAAAAACCAAACCGGAACTGTTGAGATGGAACCAATATGGACCTTGTACTGTATATACAGACGCCCTGCATTGGGGGGCAGCAAGAGATAGTGTGGTTAACGCACCTGAAGCGGCGGCCGATGGGGATCTCCCAGTCCACCACCTGCTGTCGCTCTGATGCCTGCCGTGTGAGGAACAGGGGGGACCGAAAACAGGAGGGAAGGGAGAGCATGTGTGGATGAACATGAGTAATCTGCGATAAGAGTTTGCTACGATGATATCACACTCTTACAAAGGCTTACTGCAAAAGTACCGCAGTCCGATAAAGGAATACCGAGATACGTGCACATTGTGGTTAGAGCTCACAGAGCACACACAAGAGGTCACAAGAGCACACACGCGACGTCACACGCAAAAAGAAGATACTAGCCCACCTTATTTGTAAGATACTCGGGCAGTATAGACAGTTGCTCCACCAGCAACGTGCTGTCCTGGTGGGCGCATTGGTTTGGCATGGACATGAGCACGGGCATCGAGAGGTGAAATGCCGTTTGCGGCGCAGTGCGGTGCGTACGATGCGGTGCGTTGTGGTGCGGAGTGATGAGACTTGGTGTGGTGTGAGTGTTCATGCATGTAGCAAGCACAGAGAGGATTCGCTTCACCCACAAAGGGGAAGTGCACTCTTCCCAAGCAGCACCGTTGCAATGTCACACCACCTGCCTGCAGCCTGCCTTACAGCATAACCTCTCCTCCCGCCGGCACTACCTACACTAACCTGGGTCCAGAGGCAGCACTAACCTGGGTCCAGAGGCAGCAGCAGCCGAATCTGGTGAGCAGCCACTTGTGGGCGTTGGAGGCTAGTGAGTCGGCGAGGTGCATGCCTGCCAAGTGGTGGCGCATCTCAGTGCACATGCACGCCATGCCTGCATACGCCGCATCCACATGCACCCACATGCCATGCTCCTGTGCCCGTGATTGGAGGCGGGGGGACGAGAGAGAAAGGGGTGGGGTGGTATAAGGTATGCACCAAGGCGGACTTCCACCCACTTGTGGTATGGTGTGGCGTGGCATGGCATGGGATGGCGTGGCATGGATGGGATGGGATGACATGGCACGGCATGGCATGGCATAGGACGGCATGGCACGGCACGGCATGGCATGGCATAGGATGGCATGGCATGGCATGGCATGGCATAGGATGGCATGGCATGGGATGGCATGGCATGGCACAGCATGGCAAGAGGCATTTCAAGCTCACCTTCGCGATGGCAGCCAGAGGGGCGATTGGATCGACAGTAGTGGATGATGTGGAGCCAACCTGGCATGACGTGGCTGAGGAGCAGAGCAGGCATGTGGAAAGGAATGAGCGCATGGCAGTGCTTGCTGGTGAGAGGCACGCCAGGACTCCAGGGTCAGTCCGGGCGATGGCGAGGCGGATGAGGCAGATGAGGCGCCACGCACCGGCGGCATGCAACGTGGGAAAACTTGCAGCTGGAGGTGACAGCCGGGCAAACAGGCAGACACGCACCGTCTCGTGCGTGAGGTGGCTCACTATGACATGTGCTTGGAAGGAACGAGGTAGCTTCCACTTCCAGAGAGTGAGAAAGAAGGGAACAGCAAGGTACCTCGAACTTACAGTGAGGATGAGGAAGAAGGGAAGGAGGCCAGCAGCCTCATCGCTCTGCACCGCATCCAACAGCTGGCGGGCAGTGAGAGCGTATGCTGATGCAGCCGTGGTGGGCAGCACTCGCACATTGCCCTCGGGCATGCCTGCCACACGGCATGCCTTGAGCACACATGCATGCGTGTGGTCCGACACTTATGCCACCAGGCGCTGTGCTGCCATGCCCTCCGCACTCGCCCACGGGAACATGTCAGTAGCCTCGCCCCGCACACCCACGTTGCCACCACCAGCAGTAGCACCAGCAGCAGCAGGTGCTGCAGGTGCAGCAGGTGCTGCAGGTGCAGCAGGTGCTGCAGGTGCAGCAGGTGCTGCAGGTGCAGCAGGTGCTGCAGGTGCAGCAGGTGCAGCAGGTGCAGCAGGTGCTGCAGGTGCAGCAGGCAGGTCCTCACTGCCCACTCTGCCGGGCGCTGCAGCACTGCCGGGCTGCCCCACCACACGGTCCAGCACTCTCCGCCGGGCAGCCAGCAGCACCACCAGCAGCGCCTCACTGGCCGTGCCGTGAATCACCCCCCCGCCCCGCCCACCTGCCATGCCACCACAGTGACAGAGACACGCACGACATGTTGGTGGGGTAAGGTAGGGCAGGATTAAAGTGCGCAGGGAATGCTGATGCTCATTAGTCTGAGCTGCTGAAGCGAAAGAGCAAAGGGCCTGCCACACTGCGCCACTCTCCCTCAGCCCATTCGTCCCCACATCACTCCCCCTCCCTTCCCTGCCCCTCGCATCACCCCACCTCCGCTCACCACCGCTTGACTCACCACCCGCACCTCACCCCACCCAACTCCCCCCCACCTGACTTCACCAAGTGGAACCCATGGGGCAGCCCCAGCACCACCAGCCAGTCGGTGACAATGGCTCGAGCTCCGTGGCAGCGGGAGCAGCAGCCCAGGAGAAGCCCACCACGTTGAGGGCGCTGATGAGGGCGTCGCCACAGATGAACACCCCCCACTCCCCCACCCCTCTTCACCTGATTTCACCGAGTGGAACCCCTCTGGAAGCCCCAGCAGGTCAGCCATCCAGTCCATAACGATCCCCTCCAACTCCGTGGCAGTGGGAGCAGCGGCCCAGGAGAAGCCCACCACGTTGAGGGCGCTGATGAGGGCGTCGCCACAGATGGCGGCGGCGCTGGTGGGCGAGGAGAAGAAGGCGAAGAAGGAGGGGCTCTGCCAGTGCGTCACGCCTGGCAGGATGGCACTCGATATGTCTGTGCGGTGCAGAACGGTGGAAGGAGGGAGAGGAGGGGTGTGGGGAGAGGAGGGGTGGGGGGAAAGGAGCGCTTCAAGGGAGAAACAAGTGACTGTGATGGCAGTGGGTGAAAGGGCGGGAGGAGAGCAGGAGTGGGGGCGAGATGGCAGGATACGTGACCTGAGAGAATGGCTTCAAGACGTTCGGCATGCTTAGGGGCGTGGGCGGGCAGCAGAGGCCGCAGATAGCCGGGCTGCCAGGGTGCCGGGGCGAGCAGTGGGAGCAGCGCATGCAGGGGACGGGCAGTGTGGGTTAACGGGTGCAGAAAAATCAAGAGTGGTGCAGTGGGGTTGTGATGGTGGGGGGGGTGAGTGTGTGTGGTGTGGTGACACGAGCTGGTTTCAGCATGCGACCAGCCCAGCTGGATGCTGCCGCAGCACTCGTGCTTCCAAGCAGCACCCCATCAACTCCACAACTCCCTGTCCCTTGCTCTCTCACACTCCCTGTCCCTTGCTCTCTCACACTCCCTGTCCCTTGCTCTCTCACACTCCCTGTCCCTTGCTCTCTCACACTCCCTGTCCCTTGCTCTCTCACACTCCCTGTCCCTTGCTCTCTCACACTCCCTGTCCCTTGCTCTTTCACACTCCCATGCTTCTGCCATGGTGCTGCCAACCACGGCACAGCACGGCACACGCACACGCATCGTACCTGCACGGAGCAGCGCACGGGGCGAGCACCCACGCCCTGCAGGTAGTCTGCGATGAACTCCACCATGCGATGGCCCTGCCTCCGCACCTCCTCCGCCTCCAACGCTCTAAACAACGTCCCCTCCGCTGCTGCCCCGCCTGCAGTACCACTGCCGACCTGCACTGTCACCCCGTCACAAGCACCGTCCTGCACCTCTGCGGCTTGCTCTCCTGCTGCCCTCTCGGCTGCCGCGACCAGGGCCGTCGCTGGGCGACCGCGGGCGGCCATGGCAGGCGGGGCGAGGCCGGGTCGAGGGGGGTTGGGTGGACGCTGGCGGGGGCGGGGGGAGCGCGAGGGCGAGCCACACTGGCGTCGTGCAGGCGGGCGTGCGATGAACAGTCGCGGCGTGAGTGCGCTCGTGGGAGGGAGCTGCGCTGCTATACTTGTGCTGCCGAGTCACGGCGTCTCCCAGTGATGGCTACCAGCGCTAAGTGGTTGTAAACTAGTACTGCCCTCTCTTTGTTTGCGGGAATCACGGCGTGTGGCTGGCGTGAGGGAGGGAGGCAGTGAGTAACGTGGCTGGTCCGCAAGTCAGTCGAGCCGAGAGGCGAGCGGCGCGCGCGTCACCTAAAAGCAGCAGCATCTCTGTTGGTCCTCCACCTAGAAGCGGCGTGTCGCTGGTGCAGCACTCGACGGGTCGTTTCTCCACGCCACGCCGAGAGAGCCCCGCTGCGCCTGGCGAGCGAGGATTCCGGGGCAAGCGCCTCACAGGCGGTTCGTCCGAGGTGTCGCGCCTCGCCTTGCGCCATGCCGTGCCGGGCCGGCTTCCCCGAGGGTCGCGGAATCGCCTGAATTCTCGCGACGTTTGCCCCTCGTTGTGGCGCTCTGCAGTCCGCAAGGTACATTGGCGACTCGTCAGGCACACCTGGCAGGTCGCTGCTGAGAAGGGATTGGCGGAAGGGTTGGCCGACAAAGCCAGCAGACTTGGCGCGCCACCGCGGCTGTTCTAGAGGCCTGGGTGGCAAAAGTATAATACCGATGACCTTGGTTTCCGTAATTCTTGGGACAATTGCGATGCGGCAGTGCGGTTTGAGTGGTGCGCCTACTACGTGGTGGTTGGGCAGCCCATCGTGGGAATACAGCCAAATTGCAGAGAATCGAGGGGGAATGGTGTTGCGCCCTCTATAGGCAATCTGTTTCTGCTGTGGTTGGAAAATCAATATGTATTCAGATATATACAAATTCCAAATTTTGATTTGTTCACGGCGGGAGATCTGTGCGGTCGGTACTAAGCGGTAGGTATTCTTCGCAATCTGCGCAATCACGGGGAATCTTGGCCCGGTTTGGAAAGCCCCTCTATATTCAGCGGAGCTCCAAGTAGCCAGTCTTCGTTGAACTGCAAGAGATTACGAGCACACAAGTGATCATAAGCACGCAACGATTACGAGCCTGAGGACCCCTCACCCCATCAGGTCGCCCCCAAGCGACGAGGCGAGCAACCGACGAGGTGTCTACTAGCGCTGAGGCAGGAGTGCCGACGCAGAACGAGCGGACAGAACGGAAGAAGCGGAAAGGGTCGAAACGGCGAGGGAGAACGGGGAACGGGGAAGAGCTTGGCAGCAGGGGTCGCGGAAAGGGTGGAAAGAGACGTTGAATTCGGCGGAAAAGTCGGAGGGGATGGCAGGAGCGGGAGAGCCGCCGGCTGTAGCAACTCTGCTGCAGCTCTCATAGCCCGATGTGCCTGTCGCACGCCGATCTGGCGGTGAATCCGCGCTGACTCGGACGTTCACGTGGTATGCGAAAAGCGGAGGACGCGGATGCGTGGAGTGCCAGCGAGTGGTGTGGAACCGACGCCACGTGGAACCTTCTGGGAACTTTCTCAAGGGGGTGGAGTAATGAGGATGTTTTGAGTGCCCTGGAGGGGGGGTCGGGGGTTGGGGCGAGAGTAAAGGGAGTGAGGTTGACAACGGAGTCAGGCAACGGTAGGCGGGTGAGTATGGAAGCAGAAGCGCACATGGTACGCAGTAGTGCCATGAGGCTTTCATCCCAGCCACAGCCGCGTATGGTACGCGTTTGGGGAGGATGGATGCAAGTGGGGAAGGGAGAATGGAAGGTAGTGGGGAAGGGAGAATGGAAGGTAGTGGGGAAGGGAGAATGGAAGGTAGTGGGGAAGGGAGAATGGAAGGTAGTGGGGAAGGGAGAATGGAAGGTAGTGGGGAAGGGAGAATGGAAGGTAGTGGGGAAGGGAGAATGGAAGGTAGTGGGGAAGGGAGAATGGAAGGTAGTGGGGAAGGGAGAATGGAAGGTAGTGGGGAAGGGAGAATGGAAGGTAGTGAGGAAGGGAGAATGGAAGGTAGTGGGGAAGGGAGAATGGAAGGTAGTGGGGAAGGGAGAATGGAAGGTAGTGGGGAAGGGAGAATGGAAGGTAGTGGGGAAGGGAGAATGGAAGGTAGTGGGGAAGGGAGAATGGAAGGTAGTGGGGAAGGTGGCTGCACTGCTGCTGCTGAAGCACTAGGGCGTCTGGGAGGACACATGTCAGAATGCGATTGGAGCAGCCCATGCCACATGGGCTGTACACAGATCCGATTGAGCCACAGCAAACCGTGTAACCAAGTGAGGTGGATGTGTCAGTGGGTACGTGTGGGGCGGAGGGCGCAGAGCGAGTGGGGGAGGTGTGCAGTGAGGAGAGGGGAGTGAGCAGAGGGAGAGGCAACCCCAGTGAATAAGATGCTGTTTCTGATGTTGGTAATTATTCTGCCGATGCTTTGAACCCCGACCTTCTGCTTCCTTTCCTGCCCTCCCCCCTCCCTCCTCCCTCCCATCCCAGCTCTCACCCATTCCCCCCTTTCTCACCTTCTTCCCTCCCTGCCTTCCGAGCCAGCCAGCATCCGAGCCAGGGTGGTCGGTCTGGTGGCGCTGGTGGAAAGGGGAATGCGTGTGGGGGAAGGGGGGCGTGCGTGTGGGTGAAGATAAGTTTGCTTTCTCGGTGGAGCCCAGCCTGCCTCTGCAGTCTCAGTACCCGCTAAACCTCTCTTCACGCCCTGTAACCACGTCCAATGCCCTGTAAGCGCTCTTGACGCCCTGTAACCACACGATGTGCTGGGCCCTCTGTTCTTATCATTACCGTTCTCTCATTCCATCCCTGCCCAGCCATGTGTTCCCACTGCCGCCCGTATTACTTCTGGTTGTCTGCATAATTGTTTGGGACTTGGCCTCCTGTTGTCACTCTCCCTCTAGGGCCCCTCTTCAGTGCATCCCTCTCATTCTTCACCGCCTTCGGTACTTGTCTACTTTGTAAAACGTGTCAAGTGCCTCTCGTTTTCTGAGAATATATATGTGCTTTTGGGTTTGCCTAGTAAGATAATATGTTCAACTTCCACCAACCCTATTTCTTCATTCACCACGCTCCCCATCACAGGGCTTCATGTGCCCTTTCTTTAAGCATGCCCCGTGCTCCCTTCTCCTCCAATCCGCCCGGCGGCATCCACCTTGCACCCATTGCCGCCTGAAGCAGCAGCAGCATCAGCAGCAGTGGCACCGGCACCAGCACCACCAGCACCAACAGCAGCATCTGATGGATGGGCAGGAGTGGGAGCAGCATGGATAGGAGGAGACTCAAAGGGAGCCAACACCCAGCCCCTTTCATGCCATCTCACTCACAAACACCATCCGATGCCACCACATATTATCCCATCCCATCCCATCCCATCCCATCCCATCCCATCCCATCCCATCCCATCCCATCCCATCCCATCCAATCCCATCCCATCCCATCCCATCCCATCCCATCCCATCCCATCCCATCCCATCCCATCCCATCCCATCCCATCCCGAGTACACCAGTCTAATCCCACCCCATCCCATCCCATCCCATCCCATCCTGATCACACCAGTCCCTTCCCTTCGCTAACCGATCACACCAGTCACATCCCGATCACACCTTTAGTGTCAATGGCCTCTCAGACTGATGCTCCCATGGGCGGTGTCACATCTAACTCACCCACTTCAGTCTATTCAGCACTCTATATTCTTTCCCCTTTCCACCTTTTCCCATGTTTTTCATTGCATGTTATCCCCTCATCCCGTCCCATCCAAAATCGTTCCCGTCCCAAGTTCCAAGCTGGAAATTGCTTGATTTCCTTCCACTACGATCTGATCTTTATGCTTTGTTTTGCTATTCCATTCCCTCCCATCCCATACCGAGCACAAGCTCAATCTTTTAGTCACGTCTATCTAATCGAGTCTTCTTCCCCTCCCATCACACATATCCCATTCATGCCGTTTGAGACTTTTGTCACATTAATCTGTATGTACCCATGTTCCTGTATGGAGCCATGGGGATAGATGTCCCACATACGGTAACATGAGTTGCTCAGCCTGATGCTCTTGCTGCAGCAGCTGGTGCTGCCACAACAGCAAATGCATGCTTGCTGGCCCAGCAAGTGCGCTACAGTGTACTGAGCTGCACACTTCAACTGCCACCCAATGCTTCACCCTCTTCTGCTGCCAGCACCAGCTGAAGAGAAGACCTTGTGTGCTGAAGAGAAATTATGTGCTCATTGATTCTTCAGTCATCAGCTTGCTATCTTGAGTTAACAACTAGCTACTGCTATCTTGAGTTAACAACTACCTACTTGAAAGGTTCATTCTCACAAATAATGTATTTACGATAGTGGCAGATATTCGCTACACGCCGTGACTGATTAGAGCCCGAGTACAGCATGGTATTCTTCAAGTTCAAGATTCTTGAACTTGAAGTCGCACAAAACAGGGTAACCCGTTTTAGTTTGAAAAAATACTCGCTACCCAGGGACAAGCTCCTGCGACAGTCACTCCTGATTGGTTTCTGTGACCTGTCGCACAACAGATCAGCCCATCGCCCACAAGGTTGCCTGGATCTCCTCTCACATAACTTGAAGGCCAAGTAGTACTCCCTAGTCTACTACAATACTCACGTAACTAGTAAAAGCGCGGCTGGACGATAAAAGCTAGCTCAGGTAGAATCGTTTTTCTCTGCCCAACACTAGTCACTCCCGCTGTCCGACCACGCACAAATTCATGCCAAACACGCTATTACCGTACCATTTTCGCATGCCAGACACGGATCCGTTCTAGCGCACGGCACGCGCAATGCTCGTAAATGGCATTCCCGAGTCGCAACTGGCGATCCCGCTTACATTCCCTCCCGTCGTTTGATCCCTACCATCACTGATCACTCGTCCCTCCTTACCTGTCGCCCTCGCTTCCTCTCTTGTCGTCACGTTCGTTGCCCGTCGTCCCTCTCCATC